CCTACGTACATGCACACCACAGCAGACCTACTGTAGGACTTGCAGCGGGACAAACCCTTGGGCGACCCATGCTGCTCTGCTCAGCAGAACAGGATGAAACAAAACGAAACACCCGCAGAGGCTGCCCTCGTGAGGTCCGCTGCCCCCCTGCTATTGAAGCTACGCCTTCTGCAGGCTCTTAGGCGTCGAGGGGCAACCCAAGACCGGATACCAATTCCAAGTGTCGAGTTTAACCTCGAAAAATACAACTATGCGAAATGTTTGGCCAAGTTCCGCTTTACCCGTTCTAACATTCATATTCTTGCATGACGAGTGCGGCCTTAGCCCAAGTTGCAGCAACCTTTCCATGCCCTACTTCGTAAGGACCTAGCCGAAAAACCTCCTTGAGGAGAGAGCCTCATCCATTTCGTCCGTCCACTGGATCTGTTTTCTATCCTTCTTTCCCAAAGAGATGGCGCTACAGATTTTCCCGACTTGGCACGTCGAAGTCGGTTGGGAAAATCAAATCCCCTACTTTCTCCAGTCAATTCACCGACTTGGGCGAACTTCGAAGCATTACAAATTCGAATTTTTAAGTCGGGAATTCAAATTCCCGACTTGTTAAAACGCACTAATACCAAAGATGTTTTTCCAAAATTATCGAACCCCATGAAGTACGACGTGTACAGCGGACTTAACCGTGTGGTCATCGTCCACTTCGCAACATGAAAATGTCGACTGCTGCAGAACGGGAACGAGACGTCCAGGAACTCACGAGTCGCGTTGCGGACAGCGTCTGTGAATACATTGGCGTGGAGCTTGATGGTGCTGGATGGGAGAGACGGTGCTATTGTTCTCATGGCCATGTATCTTCAGGTGCGATGGAACGGACGAAACTTGTCGACAAGGTCCTCCAAGCGCTCCACACCAAGTTTGATGAGATGACCGTCGAGAGTGCGACCGTTGCAGATTTCGCAGCGCGCATGAAGGAGTCAGGTGTGTCGATGAGGTTTCGAGGCTGTGTGGTCATTATGAGGGATGTAGAGGAGCTCTTCAAGGACCGCATGGCCGCCATCGACGAAGTCGACGAGGAACTGACTGAGCTCGAAGACATGATCCACCAACTTGAGCTGTATGCCGAACGCATATGTACGTTAGTCCAACTTCATGGATGCCACGATTTCTTAACCGACGATGTCCACACAGATGAGAAGTTTACTGTTGTGGCATGATCACTCGAATTCAACTGTGGGAGTCGATTGCGCTACCTCCTACCATCTCGTCCTCCTCGTTAAGCCACGCGCAGATATATGTATTTATGCTGCATTCGTTGTGCACGTCTTCGGCAATAGCCAGGCGATTCCACTAAGGAGGACTGGATGTGACAACCAATGGAGCAGCGCGTAATGACGTGAGTACATCGTGCTAAAGGCCAAATTATGCGGCAGTACCTGAGAGCAATTCATTCGCGCTAGCGTACGTGCTACGATGCTGCTGCTACTGTGGGCCATAGAGTTCTCACTCTACAGACTTGTGACGGTTGGACCTAATACCACGTCAACTCGACGTCGTCACTGCTACAGTCAGCTCCATGGGGCAGGACTTGGAGCGAGATATTGGCCACTTTGGCGCCGCAGTGTTCGCGGCATCCGTCCGAATCCGTGCCACTCCATTTGAACATGAGAATTGCGTCGTGGCGGGGCATACTCGACGTGTCGATGATTCGCACCAGCTTGCGCCACGTCAAACCCTTGTCACGAGCAAAGCGTTCGTGGAGCAGCACCGTGCCCGACGGAAGCGATGAGATTTCAACGGCGAATTGGCCGCCCTGGTCATATCGTACGGCATGACATAGCGTCAGGTGGAGACGAGGCACGGGCCGATGGACCAGGGGAATCGTTTGGAGTAGCTCGCCCCACCCATGCGACGACGTGTAGCAGTACGGGATCGACCGAGGGGCCATGGATCCGCCCAAGTTGACCAGAATTGCACCAGGCGGGACTTCAATGACTTCCGGCAAGTCGAGACGAGTCTCCACAATAATGTCTCCCGAGAACGTCCATTTGTCTGGATGAATCAGCTCGGTCGTGCGAACCGACGACAGCTCGAGCAGGTCGTTGAACCCTGAGGAGCCCTCCAGGATGTATCGCAGCGAGATGTTGGCGACCTTGGCTCCGACAAAGATTTCGTTCGCAGCACTCTCGCCTGTCTCTTCGTCTGCCCCCTTGCCCCGCCATTGGAGCTGCAATGACGAATCCGTCGGCGGCACGCGGGAAAGGTCGAGGACGCGACGAAGTTGGCGCCATCGAATGCCCGCCTTCGGGTGGAACGATTCATGAAAGTGCATTTTGCCAGACGGAAGCGAATGCAGCGCGACGTCAAACGCCCCACTGTGGTGGCTGTGCGTCGCGTACGCGAGCGCCAGTTGGAGGGACTTTGACGACGTGGCTTTGTCGGGACATGGAATCGCCTGCGTTAGGACGAGCCAGTCGGACGCAGACGATGAAAAGCATGACGTGATGTCGGGAGGGGCGAACGTGCTTCCCAGGTTGACAAACTCGCCCTCTCCATGGGTCACAGTCACTATTTCTGGTACTGCTGCGCGGAACGCTCGCTGCCACTTGCCCACAAACGTCCAGTTGGCTGGGTGGAGGAGCTCTCGTTCAGTCGGGGGGCTGTCCTCCTGGAGGCACAACACGACGACTTTCATCAATGAAGCCTCGGGGAGCAACTTACCAAGGCGAGGGAGATCGACAGGCGACGACGTGGAGTTACCGGACGAGGTGGGCGACAGTCATCGTCCGAGTTGTCGGAGAGATCGAACTTCTCGAGTTTCCCGAAGGCGGGTGCGTCCGCGGGGCTGTATCGTCGGGGGTCGATCATGACGCGCAATGGAGCAAGTGCGTGTTGACATGGCACGTTTATTTTGGGCATGGAACGTTTCAACAGGTGCGTTCTGTCTTTGACGACACGTTCGTCGCGGGAGTGACCTCATGCAGTTGACACACATGCCGTGCCTTTATCTCCCTCGGTGACCAGCCCAGCCATGGCGTATATTCCATCGATGCTGCATCCACCGTGTGTCAAGATGGCTGCTGCATGCGAACAAGACCAACACTACAATACGTGGCTGAATCCTGTTTACACAACGTAGTTAAACTGTTGGTAGTGGGCGTACGCATCGGTCGTGGCGTGACATTGCCACAAATGCGGTTTGTTTCCGTTGTACGAGCCCATGTCAAGGCAATACCCCGTGTGCGTGACGTGTCGGATTTGTTTGGTCGCGACATCGTACGACCACTTTTGGTTGGCGTTGCTGTCGTTGCAAGGCCAGAGGTGAATGCGGGCACCATTTGCCTTTTGCGGGGCGTCGAGGCACGTGTTGGTGATCTCGGACATGATCATGTTTTTGTCGTGGAGAACGGTCCACTTGCCGTCCGTAGGGACAGCGGGCTGCGATGGAAACCAGCCATGCGAGAACGCGATCAGTTCGGCGCCGTCGCCATCGCGGGCCGCAGTCGACGCCACCAGCGCACGCTTGTTGTCCACCGAAACAAATGCGACGTGCCCCATGTCACTCGCAATCGTGTAAAGCTGGTGGATGTTGTTGAGCTGGCACGGCCACGCCTGCACCTGAGTGTCAGTACGGTCTGCGTCGAGGCATCGATCGGTGAAGATTTCGTGCTTGAGCTTCAAGTCCGAAAAGATCCACCGCTGGTTGTTATTGTTGGCGTTGCACGGAAACAAGTGGACGTTGAATCGGTTGCCAGTCCAGTACCCGTCGAGGCACTTGCCCTGCTGCCAGCACCTGAGCTGCTGCGTGCGGAGGTCGTACGACCACCGGTCGTTCACGTTGTCGGAGGGTCCTTTGAAGAGCCGGCCGCCGTCGCATCGGAGGACGAGGTCGCGGGAGGTCGCGATCTTGAACGGCAAGCTCAAGCGTGGGCTCGGGACCGGGCGGTTCCACACGTCAAACTTCCACACGCCGCTGGGGTACGCCAGGCCAAAGTAATTTTCAAACAGCGTCGCAACGTCGGTGGACTTTGCTGGGTTGTCGTGAAACATAAAGTACATGGGGTGTTCGCCCCCGTTCTTGTTCACATCCATCCAATCTTGGACGTCCCAAAAGTGGCGGATCGCCGCTTCCATGCTCGCCTGGTGGTTTCGGAATGGACCCCCGCCGTCGGTGGGCCATCCAGTCTCCGTCAGCAGCGCTTTCTTTCCGAAGCGAGACGCCATGGCTTGCCAACGATGGCTCAAGTGCGGGATCACGTTGTTGATCGTGGAAAAATCGTACGGGTCGAAGAACGCGTACATGTTGACCCCCACGACGTCGCACACGTTGGCAAGCGACGGGTACTTGAGCCAGTCGCCGTCGGTTTGCACCGTCCCAATGGGAATGTGTTCGAGTCCGGGGACCGCGCGGATCTTGGCCTTTGCGTCGTTGATGGTATCGATCATCGTGCGCAAACTCAAGCCGTTGCTCAGGTCTTCATTGCCAATCAGAATGGCCTTGACGGCCTCGGGGTGCCGGGTCGCGCCGTCGATGGCCGCCTGGAGGTCGACGTCGTAGAACGGACTTCGAATCCACACGCCGGCGTAAATGAGCAAGTTGTTGCGTGCAGCAACGTCGATCGCGTTCGGTCCATCCGGAACATGCACTGTCGTGTTGGTGCCATTGGGCCACAGGAGCCCGATCAGGGTATTTTGCGTTTGATACGTACGCACGGCGTCGAACCTCGTTTTGATCGTGGTGAAATGCGCGTCCATGTTGGCGTAGTCAAACGAGTCGTAGCACACGCCTTTGGCTTCGGCTTGGTGGTGCCATGAGCTCATGGACAGGGCCACCAAGGCCAGGCATGTCTGGAGCTTGGTCACGCCAGCCATGATCCACGACGATGAGGTCGGCGAACGCGCAGGAAATCGCGAAGTGGCTGCACCATCCCAATTGCCACGACCAACGCGCGAGTCCACGAAGGGTGGGACGCCCACCATACACCACGCCAAGTTTGCAATAAGGTGATCGGCACCGTCTACTGGTGAATTTTGCACCGCACGCAACGTCCGAGCCAATCGCAACAAATTCAAGTACAAGACGATGACGGCGGTCGGAGCGTCCCCGGACCATGTTCAGCTAGCACGAGCATCAGGACATGATGCATTTGGTCGTCGTTCGAGACGTTGCCTTCCGTCGTCGCGAGTCAACACGAGCGCTTCAACACGAGACATTCCACGCGATCCAGCCGCGCGAGGTTGGGCTTGCACGAACGTCTTGCTGCCGTCGGCGCCCGTGGACGTCTGGATGGGCCAAACGGCTCGCGCCACCATGACCTTCGTCGCCGCCGTCGGATGTGGCGACCACTTCGTTGGAGGTGTGAAGACCCACGCTCGCGTCAGGTCGCGAGGTCGCTGGAGGTACGTACAGTGTACGAATGAAGTGGCGGCCGCCTGGGTTTCCTCGATAATCCTCCTTTCCACGGGGTGCATGTGGATGGTTCAGATTGCATGGATGGCATACAGTATTCGATTCGCCATTGGGGGGATGGGGTCGCGGGGGCTGCGTGGGTTCAATTTACTTTACGCCGCACGTGGCAAGGCGTGCATGGTGGCTTTTCAACAGGTTGATATCTTGGAGCATCTCGCGGAGAAGTACGACTAAATGGAAGTGTGATCAAGCCCGGCTGCTAAATGTAGGTGGCACTGTGCGATGAGAACTCCCACTGACATCGAGGTCGATTCACCTCATTCAGGTTGCACGGCCGCGGAAAAAGAGCCCACGTAGGCACAACGAGAACGCCGCGGCTCGGACAGAGATGTCGCGAGGGATGTTGGAGCGAGGCACTCCTTTCGGGTAACGCGTGCAACATGGACGCACAGACCAAGCGTGAGTTTCGGCTGAGCGCACTCCAACAAAATTGGGACGTGCCTGACACAGAGGAGCACATTGGTTGTTATCATGACGTGGCACGCTGTGGAAGCATCCGTATAGATGCTAGTGTGCTAGATATTTGCGTTCCGAGGCAGACCACAGCAACTTGACGAAGCATTCGTGTGGAGATCATGGCCCAAAGCCCACACGACCCATTCACATTGCATGCTGCCACACGTTGCCGAGCACGCGATGTCAATCGAAGAAAGCGCCCCCCATGCGTATCCATACAAATTGGACTGCTGCACGAATGCTTGTATGAGCGCTGGGTCGACTTGGGACTTTTTTCCATGCGAGGATGGCTTGGCACTTACCACGAGCCAGGGACACGGCGAAAACGTAGGAAATTTCGATTTGCGTTTGCAATCGACGGGCGTTGCATCCTCCCGTCCGCTTTGGACGCGTGTTCTTGCCACTAAACCACTGGATGGTGCGATTCCCTGGTCATATTCATCCGCGACGGTAGTTCGTGGGGGCTTCCCCCAGAGTGGAACTTGACGGCGATAGAATTTTCATTCAAATTGCGATGCGCATGACCAGGAGACGCGGGTGGAAGGTTCAACGGCAACGTCATGCTGGATGCCATGTCAACGGCAACGCAGGCCTTTGTTGACCGACCGGTGGAGCAACTTCAATCGCAGCTTCTGGTGCACGAGTTCTCCATAAGAATTTGTTTACACTTTCTCGGACCATCGGGCGAGCGAATTCCAATGTGAACATCTGGAGGTGGTGGGGGCATATCCAGTTGCCAAATGTTGTGACCTGACGTGACCGTCGACGTTCGCCCTTGACCAACCATCCCTTGCTACGCCCCTTCGACTTGGAATCCGCGGGAGATTTTATGCAGGGGCTGCACGCGCATTGTGCACAGAGCAGCCCCACGGGGGACCCGGAGGCGGCTGCTGTGCTGCCAGGAAACTCTTTCAGTGAACTCTCTTGACAAACTTGCGCGTACGTCGCATGACCTTTTCCGGATACCAACAACAGCATCCGGACTACCAAATCTCTGGCGCATTGTTGTGTTCATGCATGCATCTGCGAATGGCGCCAAGGTTCGCTTTCACATTCGTCCACATGCAGTCCCCCCGTTCTCGATCGTGTGGACGATGAAGCGAAGTGGGTAGTTGACGGCATGCTTTTCGAGTCGGCGCGGATGGCAATCATTCGCCCAGTTCCCGATGAAGTACGGATCATGTTAAGTGCGCTGCATCATGGGATCATGGGGATGGAGGGCATGCGCCAGACTCGGGGAGGGCTTCGTATGTTTTACTTGCAAGAGCGAGCACAAAACTTCCTCGCACTGGAGATGAAGTCCAACGCTCTCTCGCAACGCATCTCGACGTACAGTGATCCCGCAACGTTTGCACCCTGGTATAAATTTATACCCCGTGAAAAATAACTTGATATAAAGTTCATGGGGGCCTTTGGACAAGGCGGCATTGGAATTGTGTTACGTCAACTACGATTCGGAACTGTTGGGCCCACACCAGAATCATATCTTTTGTCGCCCCTGAGGATCAAACTGTCCACACCAACGCCAGCTTTGGCCATTCAATTCAGCGCGTGCTCCACTGACTGATGTTACTATCCAGTTGCCTTTAAAATTCAATCTTTGTGTGTTCTTTGTACCGCTGTCATCCTGGAAAAGTTTATATTTGGAAAAATGTGCAAACGTCACGGGATCACTGTAATTTGTTGTCTTGGGGCACACAGCACACCATATTGCTGGCCACATGGTCACACGGTCATCATGGTCTAGGCGCCACGGCATGAAGAAAAGACTGGCACGCTTCCATTTCTACACGGAGGATCCCCTGGTATTGGATTGCCCGGCCAATTCAAGCGGCATTGAATAGGACGATCGCTTGCTCTTGTCGGCCACGCAGCGCCGACCACCCATCAGCACCCACTGGCGTGAGTAATTGCATCGACCAGGGAATTTTTGTTCCACGTGGCGCGACCATCACAATCGTACTGGCTTCAGCACACTTGAACGGAGAGTCCAGAAGCGACTGGGATCGGTGCTGGCCATCGTAGCCAATGCAGCGGCCGTGGGCTGTGCCGTGAGGCCGATAAGCTTGTGAACGGGTCATGATTCATCTCACAGAGCGGTGGGTGCTACCAGGGTCTCTCCATGCCTCTCTCGGGCCTTGGTGGCCATCCCAAGCACAAGTTGTGTCGTTTCAAGCGTCGCCAAGATTGTCGGTATTGGAACGGCCGGCACTGCACCGAAATACGTCATTTAAAATAGCCCTTCCATAACAGTGTTATATTTCCCGTTTCACATGCAATCGATGCAAGCTTTGAATGGAGGGGACATACGGAAATGTGTTATAACATCACTCTCAAATAAAAACAGTTTATTGTCGCGCCGTGGACAGGGTGCTTTTTTGTTGGTGCGATCGAGGCAACGGGGTGGGAGGATGAACGCCACCACCTCTCAGTCTGACATCATGACGTGGGAGACCATGCAGATGACAGTGTATCTGTCGCTCACGTGCATCTCCATGACGGCTGCCGGCATCACAATCTTCACAGCGTTCGACACGAAGGACATCCGACGATCCGCAGTCCAATACTGCACCTATTCCGTCTTCTGCTGCGACTTCGTGTGGGCGTTCTTTCGATGTCTCTTGTACACGTTGGGCATGGTCCAGGGCGTGCTACCAACCTCCAACAAAGGGGACCGAAACGTTGCAAACTTGGACGAGACGACCATGGTGTTCGAAGCAATTCTGACCGCCGCGGGGGACCTCTGCATAGTTGCCGCTGCGATATGGATCGTCTTGTCCGCGTACGAAATGCAACGGGTCGTAACCCACACCATCACGCGACCAGAAGAGCGCGAACGCCATACCGTGCTCTTTTACGACGTCATGGTGTACGTGCCATTGACATTGCTCCTCTTGCTCTTTGGTCTGGGTCCCGTGGCCAAGAAGGACGAAGACCTCACGAGCTCGTATCTCCGAGTGAGCTTGTACATCGTTGTGTGGGCGCTCTTCCTCGCGGTGTTGTACCTTCCCTTTGCCATGTACAAGATCTATTGCGTCCGAGTGAATCGGTCTGGGTTCTTCGACCACACGTTGGAGCACATTTATCGCCGCGTGCGCATTCTCCTCATCGTGTACAGCATCACGACGATTCCCACATCCATTGCGAGTTTGGGCAGCGAAGTCGCGCAGCTCACGCAAAACTCGACCGACTTTCTCGGGCCAAACACGAGCACCATCTTTTTCGTGTCCAACTGCGTGTTTTATCTCACTGGGTTTTTCAATGCCATCAGTATCGGCGGCAGCGTCCTCTGCTGCATTCGATGTCTTCGTCCCGTCATGCCCAAGGAACTCCACGAAGACCTCATGAACGGCGGCATGCTACGCGCATCCGACGCCATGATCACGTCCGACAACGTGCTGCTGCCTCCTGAAAAGCAGCCAGTGTTTGTATGTACCGACATCGAGAGCTCGACGTTGCTGTGGTCCCGGATACCCAAGGCCATGACTGAAGCGCAGTCTTTGCATGATGGTACGTCATTTTGCAATGGGAAACCCATCGCCGCAGGTGCCATGTGTGGTCCCTGTGGGGCTTCCGTGCGTTCTACACTGGCCATGTCATTGAAATCCCTGTGATGTGTAGACTGCATGCGCCAGCACTTGGCCACGTATAACGGGTACGAGATCACAACTGCAGGCGACGCCTTCCAGCTTGCCTTCCACACGGTTGCCGAAGCCATTTCGTACTGCGTGACCGTGCAACTCAAGTTGCTCGAACTGCCGTGGCCAAAGGAGTTAGACAACTTTCGCGCTGCCAAAACCATGACCGACATGTTTGGTCGCACGTACTTTCGAGGGCTTCGCGTGCGCATGGCCATTCACTTGGGCGGCGGCGACTTGATACACCAAATCCACCCGACCACGGGCAAACGAACGTACGCGGGACTGCATGAGCTCATAGCCCGGGAGATCGGCGACGTTGGCCTTGGCGGGCAACTTCTCATCTCGGTCGTGACAAAGGAACGATACCTGGATGAGATTCGAGATGTGCCCAAGCAAAAGAAGGGGAAGCGTCGGCTGAAAGTCCAGTTCAAAGACTTTTTCTTCCGAGAAGCCCCGAGCTGCCACATTGTCGACCTCGGCATTGTCGAACCCATGGCGGAAATCGTGCCTTATTTATTGCGTCCTCGCTTTACCAGTGGACGCGCCGACCAGATGCACCTTTTTGCATGACGGCCGTCGAGGGCGTGGTCTTCGCGGCCGTATTTATCCAAACTCGACTCTGCTTTCTTTTGACCTCTGTCGATACGAGCCCCATGGCCACCGCATTCATGTCATCTGCATGAGAACGTTGCGCAGGAAAGGCCAACCGAGCCACATCGAACACCCGTCTCCACAGGACGTGCACGGGCAACGGTATCAAGTCTTGAGTGAGCGCATGCTCGCGATGGCAGTGGCGCCTCTCTCGAGGGATAGCCCACCGCTATTTGGATGCGAATTTTGCCCGTGTTGTCGTGACCTGAGCATCCGGCCAGATACAGTGGACGATATAAAAATAGACGCGAGAACCGACCTCCATCGCGCAAAACGGCTTCGCTCATGGAACGGGACATGCCTGGAATCAATCTCCACTTGTCCATGCGGAGATCTTCTGCGTCCCTTGCGATGACTGCTAGTGAGCGACACGCCGCCGACAAGGCGTCAGACGACGTGTTCAAACAGTTTGACCTGCATCATGCCCCGTTCCTGACCAAGCGCGGCAAGACGATCCACCACGTTGTCCTTCGTGTATTTGTCATTGCAGACGGTGGGGCGCCCGAGCGATTCGGTCATGGGGCTCATGCAGGGCTGCATGTGTAGGATTTATCTTTTACTTTAAGAACTCGTCCGCCACGCAGCCTAACGGCCTCTTGCCCCTCGACGGGTCCGAGTTCAAAGTGCACAAGTACCAAGTGAGCTCCCACTTGAGCAATATTTGCTTGGAAGTCCACACCCCGTTGCGTTCGTGGGGTATGCAATCCCATCATGGTTGGAGGTGCTGATGGTCCAACGTAGGCAGCGTCGTGCTGCATTACCATGGTTGCTCCGGCGCGCAAGCGCAGGACGTTGTCCACCAGCTCGAGGCGGCTGGTTCCAAGCGAATCTTTGGCGAGTTCTCGGGGCTGTCGGTATGTCCAGCCGCAGACAGTGATCTCAAAACGCATGGGCACCACGACAAGAAACTCGAGGACATCTGTCCGTCCACGGACTCGGCGGCACCGCATGACCCAGCGTCGATGTTGGCATCATCGTCGTTATCCAACGCAGAGATATCAGTGGCCGATGGCGTCCTTTCGTACATTTACCATTGGGACAAGCGAGGTCACCAAGTTCCACTGCTCGATTTAACGTGGTCCGAGTTGCACGAGAGCTACGCCGACATGTGCAAGGCGCTAGGCATTCCCCTGGACGAGGCCGACGACAAGCGTGTAGATCTGTCCAACGAGCTCTGCCACGATCTGTGCACGAACGGGACTCTAACTCGGCCATGGGGCACCATTTCGTTGGAGGCGTCCTCGTCGCCGCACCACCAGCATCCCCACCGCCGTCTCAGCTCGTCGCAGTCGTCCGTGTCGTCCGTGTCCGAGAGTGACACGGTGGGTGACGCGACAGTTGATTTGTCGCCCGCTCCCGTGGTCCCATTTGATGCCGGTGGTCGGTCGGCCTCGCCACCCACGAAAGCGTCGTCCCCGACGGCTCGTGATCCAGGCGACGGATCGCATCCCCACCGCCGCCGCATTAGTCGGCGGTCGTCGTTGCACAAGAAGCATCTATTGTCGGGAGACGTGTCGATGGTGATCAGCTCTGGCATTGTCGTGCCGCCGAAAGCCATTCCAGACGTGAAACTGATCCAAGCGATTTCGCTCGCCGAGAGCTACAGCGGTGGGTTCTCGCTGCGGCAGTACACGCCGTTGAAGATCATCGGGAAGGGTGGGTTTGGTCAGGTCATGGTGGCGCGCCACAACTCGACCCACCAAATCGTTGCGATCAAAACCATGAGCAAGTATACGTTGACAACGCAAAACCAGGTCGCCCATACCAAGGCCGAGCGCAACGTCCTCATCATGTGCTACAACCACCCGTTCATCGTCAAGCTCCACGCGGCGTTCCAAACTATCGACCACCTGCACATGGTGCTCGAGTTTTGCCCCGGCGGCGAACTGTTCTTCCACTTGTCGAGGGCCGGTCGGTTCAGCGAAGCGCACACGGCATTTTACTGTGCCGAGGTACTGCGACGGACTCTAGCACGCACGAAGCAGCTAACGCGAGAGAGTAGATATTCTTGGCGCTGGACCACTTGCATGCACACGAGGTCATCTACCGCGACCTCAAGCCCGAAAATGTCCTCCTCGATCGGGACGGCCACATTCGTTTGGCGGATTTCGGCTTGTCCAAGGAGAATGTGACCGAGCGCAAGCTTGCCGCGACGTTCTGCGGGTCCGCCGAGTACATTTCACCAGAGGTCCTGCTGCTGGCGGACGCCGACTTGGACGGGATGACGCCAGTTCCAGGGGGGTACGACAAGGGCGTCGACTTGTGGGCGCTGGGGTGCCTTGTGTTTGAGCTGCTCACGGGGCTCCCTCCGTTCTACTCGGGCAAGTGCCGGTCGGAGCTGTACGCAAAGATCAAGGACGGATACGTCGCGTTTCCACCGTACGTGTCGGCCGACGCAAAGGACTTGGTGGTGCGACTCCTGCAACCGAAACCACACGATCGACTGGGGTACAAAGACCCTCGTGAATTGAAAGCCCACCCGTTCTTTCAAACCCACGTCCCCGACTGGGACAGGTTGATGGCGAAGGATGTCGTCCCGCCCATGCAGCCGTCGGCGGGCGAGTACATGAACTTTGACGACGCGTTCACGTCGATGCCACTCGACAAGGAAGCGCTCGAGGTCATGGCCGAGTTTAGCAAGCGCAATACGATGGAGCACCAGTTGTTTGACAATTACAACTGGGCGCCGCCGGACGATGCCGGACGCGGTGCAGGGTCGGCGACCGTCGTCCCAAATGCAAGTTAGAGACTGCGTGGCTTTTTTGGCATTGCAACTGCTGTGTATTTAATGAAGATGACGGACCAGTCCCCAGACAAGAAAGGGACGTGGAGAAGGTCGAGTGCGTTTGTCGATTCATGGCGAATGTTCCTTCGGCGATTTGACCGACCGCTGGACGGATGGCTTATTTCCACAGTTTGCGGATCGACATGTTTTGTTCAGAGTCCTTCTTCATCACCTTGGACACGGCCATTTCAAAGTCTTCTTGGGTCACGTGGACGCGGCGTTCTCGAAGGGCAAACATCCCCGCTTCCGTACACACCGCCTAGGTCGACGTCATTCATGAATGAGTTCGTTGCAAACCACAGCGAATGTTTGTAGGAACACGCCTCGACGCACCTTGCATTCAGCGCCCGACGCCGTCGGCATCTTCTCCGCAATCACCTTCAGATTGATGCCACGCAATAAGTTCATGCGGCGCGAGTGGATGCGCATGATATCCATACGGGACTAGCCAGCACACTCGTTAGGTGGGACTGGGTGGTCGTAGGCAGGAAAGAGGTACCGCTTCCGTGGGGTTGGGAAATTCAATCTTGCGATCGATGCGACCAGGCCGCAACAACGCGGCATCGAGAATGTCGATACGGTTCGTCGCCATGATGACCTTGATGTTTTGCGCCGGCTCAAACCCATCCAGCTGATTCAGGAGTTCCAACATCGTGCGTTGGACTTCCGAGTCGCCACCGCCTTCCATGCGCGAACTGCCGATCGAATCGATTTCGTCCATGAAAATAATCGACGGCGACGCTTCGCGGGCCATCACGAAGAGCTCGCGCACCATACGGGACCCTTCGCCAATGTATTTTTGCACGAGTTCCGCCCCCGACACTCGAATGAATGTACAATCGGTATGGTGTGCCACGGCACGAGCCAGCAATGTCTTGCCCGTCCCGGGTGGGCCGTAAAGAAGCACCCCCTTTGGCTGGGCAACCCCCAACGCGTCGAAGAGTTCGGGGTGCTTGATGGGCAGTTCGATTACTTCTTTGATCTCGCGAATTTGTTTGTCCAGGCCACCGATCATGTCGTATGTCGAGTCCGGAACCTTTTCGACCTTCATCAAGCTCACCAGCGGATCCACCTTCGTGGGGAGGATCTTATGCAGCACATAGCTGTCGTTGCGAAGTGCGACGCGGGTGTTGGGTGTGCACTTGGTGATGTCTATGGCTTTGTCCACATCGACCACATACTTGCCTTCTGGGTTCACTTTCACGAGCACCTTGGACTTGCCCATTTGTTTAACGACTTCCCCCACGTACGAACCTGGTTCTTGCAGCAACTGCAGCTCTTCGCGAAGCAAGCGCACTACACAGCACACGTGCATGAACTCGACGGACGTCGGAGTGCATTCGTCGTCGTACCTTTGGAATTGAGCTCATTGCGCTGGGCTTGAAGACGGCGCAAGTTCATAGTCTTGTCACGCACGGTGAGCTCCAAGTGCTCAATCTTCTGGCGGTAGTAGCTCGTCAGTCCCTCGGATCCATCCGTGATTCCCGTCATGGCCAAAGCTGGGGTGCAGATCGATTAAATCTTGCAATTGGGATTTGGAGGTGGTTTTGAAGGGTTTTGACGGAAAACAAACTTATCCGGGACAGTCGAACTTGAAAGGATGCCACAGGTTCTTATTGAGTCGACTTCTTTAATTCATACAAGTCTTTGCATAATAAAAATATGGATCGCACATAAGCGACGATTCTTGGCACGTCAGAATTCCATCGCTCCGCGCGGCGTCGCATCGTCTCGGCCATGATCGAAGTGATTCTGAACGATCGCCTGGGAAAGAAGATCCGTGTGAAGTGCAATGAAGACGATACGGTGGGTGACCTCAAGAAGCTCGTTGCGGCACAGGTGGGCACTCGCCCGGAGAAGATTCGCATCCAGAAATGGTACACAATCTACAAAGACCACATCACGCTCGAAGACTATGAAATCCACGACGGCATGGGGCTCGAGCTGTACTATACATAGTCACTATCGAGTTGGTATGTGTCGTATTGCTCCTGTCGTCTGTGCACAGCGATCGACGTACGCGTAACTCAATCAACTTATCGTGCTCCGTGTTGTGCTTGCTTGGGCTGTATTGGGGTTCTTCTCACGACTGGGGGGATTGCGCGCGATGTTCTAGGCAAAGGAGTGTTTTGCGTGCTTACTGATCGAAATCGTTGCGCTGTCTGCAAGGTTCCTCCAGCAGTACAAGAGGACGTAGAAGTTGGGTGGAAGAAGAGCGTTCAAGGGCTCCATACGATGCAGCAGCGTCGCTGATCGCTCTTCTTCCAAGAAACTTTGAGTCCTGTACCTAGTCTGTGACAAAATCCTTCATGTGGTCATGATAACATACATGCAGTAGAGTCGGCGTGGATGCTGTCTCGCAGTTGTTGTTGCTTGGTGATGGCGGCTTCCGACCAGTACTTGTTGGCATCGGACACTCGTCTGTCCCAAGTGGGCATCATCCACCATGGATGGGCTGTTACGCCTCCACCACGGACCTGTGGTATCGTTCAAAGCAAACCTCGTCACGTTGTATATGAGGATGTGTTCTGGCTGCGCACCACGTCGATCGCACTTTGGATGTGGCTGCGAAATACCCCAGTGCGCCCGTGGACGGGCATCCTCGCCTTCTTGGTGATGGGGAGCAGTGCAACTCGGACTCGTTCGCGTTGGCCAGCGCCTTGCCGCACAACTTGGTCTTGTCGCGGCTCCTATCGAGAAGAAGTGGTCGTCGGCCTCCCAATCAATAAGAACGACCCAACCTCGTACCCCACGATGTACACGTGTCCGACATCATGCCAACGAACCCATCTCCGGCTAGCGCGGTAGTATTGCATGAACGCAATGCACACAACGCCATTGCTGAGCTGCATGTCAAGAGCAAGCGCTGCCGAAACGCTTTTCCCTGTAGCTTGCTGTGAACCATTCGACAGGAAGCTCAGAGAGTAAGATGAACAACAGCATCTTGCGCGCAATCCACAAGATTAGGCTGTGGCTCATGGGCCGATCGCAAGCGTTGAATCCGACGTACAGTATTCACGATGACGTGTGGCTGGGTCTTCGCCCTCATAAACTCGCGTTCCACCAATTCTATCGATGGATGCTTTCTGGAGACGTCCACCTCCATCACGCTAGGAACGTAGCGACAGTGTTGCTGTGACACCTTGCCCGCATGCTCATATTCTCTTTGGCATCACATCTCAACATGGGTCGATTGCTTGTGGGTTTCCTCGTCTGCGCCTCTGCGTCTGGTCAATCCAACACCGTGACCAAAGTCTTTCGATCGGATGCTCCTCGCAATATGTCCAAGGAAAGTGTTGTGCTTCCTGGAAATATTCCGGTCGACTCGCGAACGAGCTACTCGTACGAACGCGGCAGCCAAGAAACGACGACCGGGCAACAAAAGACTGGTACTGGGTGGAGTCCGTATGAAAGCGTCCTCGGGGGAAGCAACGTGGGCGGGCTCCGGGTTGATGGCGTCGACGAGGGTGCCACCGTTCCATCGGACAACATGTTTGGATTGCAGCCGCCATCGCCAGTGGGAAATGTCGGGTTCGGCGGCGTGGGAGGCAATGCGCTCGGCTCAGTGCCAGGTCTCGGTCTCATGCATGCCCCCGGTAGCCTTCGTGGCATGTGACAGCGGCAAGCCATGGTCGAAATGCAGTAATTGTGCTAACAAAAATCGTACCGAACATCGCGTCATAACAACTTGGTTGTTCTGGCGTCGGCCATGGCAAGTGGATTCGTCTGTCGTTGCGATCGTGTTGCGACGAACGCCCTGCGACGTGTCGATTCGTGCGGCTTCTACTCGCCCGAGTCAGCCGTCGTGGCAAGACACGTCGTTCGGGTTGGAGACGAGGCCCAACTTGGCAGTTGATAGTGGTAAACACGGGGATTGTCGCATGTGCAAGTTAGCTGAGCTGCTCGTGAAAACGGCCAACTTGAAGCCCCATGACCCATGCAAACCATGGCGAACGGCACTCGGGTTTTGCATGGAGCCACTCGAAACGTGGCAGGGTCATCACATCCTCTTGGGCGATCTCAGAACCGACCGCTGTCCCTACAGCACAGACGGCTCAGCGCACGTGGGGCATAGCCAAGGGGCTCACGTGTGCTTCGTGATGCAAGGGCCGAAGAATCTGTCGCTGATTCCTGTAAGTTGGTTGCAGTGCGTGTAAGCCATCTTGATGATTCGGACGCAAAGCGATCATGTGCTCGGTTATGTCGTGTGTGTGGGGAGTCTCTACGTGGTGGCATGCGTCTGCTGCGTCTTGGTCACGAAGTCGCAAAGTTCGGTCATCACGTTTACGATAATCACGCGAAACACCACGCGAGGGAAATGCCTGCCACGAGATTGCAAGGCTAGCACCAGGACGATATGAAGATAAAACTCGACAGTCGGGACACCAGTGCGAGCGCTCCACAACGCTGGCGGGGCAGCCCCTGACCACCTCAGCTTTCGCTCTGACAATGTGACAGCTCGAAGCGGCAACCCAATCGCGGACGCTATGTACAGTTCCAAACAAGGTGCCGCTTGTGCGACACGCCGGTAGCCAAGAGGTTTAGCGGTCCCATTCAACCCATCACCCCTCTTGTCGTTCGTCTCATTTTCCAATTCACGCCCGACCAAGAGCCATGTCCCTGGGCATCTTCTTCGGCATCGCCGCCATGTGCATATTCGGTGTCGTCCCCATCTTCTACAAGGCCCTCGACAATGTGCCGGTAGTTCAAATTGCCCTTCACCGCTTCACGTGGACGTTTCCTGAGACCATGCTCATCGTGCTTGTCCTTGGCCAAAGCAAATCGTTTTACAAACAAGCATTCACCCAGTCCAACTTTATCCTGTACGGAGGCTCGGCAGCGTCGATGGGGGCCAGCACGATCTTGCTCATCTGGGCCGTCAACGCAGGCTATCTACTTGAAGTGTCACTCGGCGCATTCCTCAACCCTGTCACGATGGCGATCTTTGGCATTGGTTTCCTCAAGGAACGGTTGAGTCGGTGGCAAGTGGTGTCCGTCGTGTTGGCCACTATCGGGGTCGGGATCTTTACGGTGGCGTACGGCAAATTCCCGTGGGTGGCCATTCTCCTCACGATCGGTGACGGAGTGTACGCTCTCTTCAAGAAGAAGGCTCCCTTGACGCCCCTGCATGGCCTGGCACTTGAATCCGGCATCTTGTTTCCGATTTGCTTGGTGGGCACGATCACTCTCGAAGCGCAAGGGACGGGAGTCTTCACCCACGGCCTTGTCCAAACCGATGTGCTGCTCGTGGCATCTGGCGTCATGACGATCGTCCCTTTGTTACTCTTGGTTGCAGCGATGCAGATGACGCCGCTGTACATCATGGGTCTCATTTCCAACATCGCGCCGACAATCCAGTTCATTCTTGGAGTCGTGGTGTACAAAGAACCGTTCTCGACAACCAAGTTGATCGGCTTCGTCTTCTTATGGGTGTCCATGGCGGTGTTTGGCCTCGACAGCTTCTGGGCGTACAAGGCGGCGCTCTCCGAGAAACTCGGCAAAGAGAATGCGATTCCCAACGATGAGCTGTCCCTAGATGTCGAGACGTGTCACGACGGCATCGACGGTGCAGCGCACACGTTCAACACAGTGAGCACCCCGACTGCCCATGAGCGATAACAGCCTCAATAAACTCCGAGTACCAAGGCACCTTCTGTCCCTGCAAAACTCTGCCAAACGTCTACCTGCCGACGTTGATTTCGCTCGTGAAAAGCAGATGAATGTCGCAGAGGCCGCACCACGGGATTTTTCAGTATATCAAGGGTGACAGTATCCAGACGACACATCGATATCTGCTTTATGGGACCGCGCAGCACATGAGCCTCGTATTGGTCGTCTAGCATGCTGGAGAGATCTTCATCTGGCAGTCACATCCTGTATAGGTGATACAACAAGAAGTAGAGCCATGTGGTCAACCCCTCGAGAAAATTCAAACTGTCTAATGTTAATGAATCGTGGCAAAATACACTCTTGCGCGCATCGCAGCCAGAAGTCTTGGAATCGAGTGTGCCATTGCGCACGACGTATCGTTGTGACGGACGAGTTGGTTCAAAATCAAGGACTTGTTCAATTGGCAATGGAGCATCGGCCAAGACGTGAGCTGTCCATGCTACCATGCACATGTGCTCACAACGACTTGGACGTGACATCGAAGGCTGTTGCCGGTGGCGATGCCTCCAAATTGGACAACTGGAGCAGAATCACGAATTTGAGCGAAGGGGAGAGACCGCGGGGACATCTTGTTCCAGAAGTTGACAGTTTTCAAGTCGTGGAATTGGCCCACTCAAAATGGCGCTGTGTCATGGCTCTGGGATATGAACCTTTGCCAAGTGTCCGATTGTCGCCGTGGCAGTGACTCTTACCCCCAACGACCTCAGAGTGACCTCGATCTGCTTGTCCTCGTCGCACTATCGATGAAGGCATTTGTAGCGAGCGTGCCAGTGTGGTAAGCGTGTTTTTTGCCATGGTGCAGCTCCGATTGCCAGATTGCCATGGCATGTCAACATCGTCAAAGTTGAAGTGAGAAAACCTCCATAACTTCATGGTTGTTGCGCATCATTTTGCACGAGAAAGCCTGTGAAACGCAATACGCAATATCATTTGTCACAGGTCGGGTCTTTCCTCTCCATTCAAATGCACGAAAGGTCAAGGTCCAATTGGTCGAGTCATTTTTGAAACATGAAGCGCGGCATTGCAACGCCCCCGACGTCCAAGAAATCTCGCAATGAGTACACGGCGGCCAACGCTGCGGACGACAGTGACGGCGACGACTTGGTCTTTGAAGATCCCTACGGTGACGATCTTGAGGACGAAGAAATGGTGTCGGACGGCGACGAAGAGGTCGTGAACAATGACGACGACGATGACGAGAACGACATGGACGTGGATTCGGGCAACCTACCGCCCCTCCAAAACGACGACGACGAAGCGGAAGCACCCAAAAAGGTGTGGTTGCCGAACGTGGAAAAGCTTGGCGAGGATGAAGTGCTCGACTACGACGCGTCCGCGTACGACTTGTACTACGCCATGACCGCAGAATGGCCAGCGCTGAGTTTGGACATTATCAAGGACAACTTGGGCGCGTGCCGTACTAAGGTATGCTCGAATTGTTGGAGTACTTAATGTGCTCATGTTGTTGGTTTAGTTCCCCATGACAATCTACGTTGTGGCGGGGTCCCAAGCGCCGAAAGCTGCCGACAACAAAATCACTGTCATGAAGATGTCCGAACTGCACAAAACCAAACACAACAGCGGTAAGTTGTGCAGGTTCATTCAGGTGGCATGACCAGCACTCCGACAGACCCGGATGACGACTCGGACGACGACTCGGACGACGACGACGAAGAAGGCGACCCGGTGCTTGAGTCCCGTTCCATTGACCATCGTGGCGGCGTGAATCGCATTCGCGCCATGCCGCAAAGCTCCAACATCGTTGCCACGTGGGCAGACACGAAGCGCGTGCACATTTACGATATTGCGAAACAGCTCCAGTCCTTGGATGGCAAAAACCCCGCGGGATTGAGCGCTCAGGCTCCACCCGTGTTCACTTTCACAGGTCACGCCGACGAAGGGTTTGCGATGGACTGGTCCCCTGTGACAGCCGGGTCGTTGCTCACGGGCGATTGCTCCAAGTACATTTACCACTGGGTGAACAACGGCGGGTCGTGGGTCGTTGACAAGGTACCATTCACGGGCCACACGTCGTCCGTGGAGGACATTCAGTGGAGTCCGACCGAAGCGACGGTCTTCGCTTCGTGCTCGTCGGACAGGACCGTTCGCATCTGGGACATCCGCACCAAAGCTCGTTCCATGCTGAGTGTCGAAGCGCACGATCAAGATGTGAACGTGATCACGTGGAACCGGTACGACTTTGTGCGATGGCTGAGAGAGCTCATGTCAACATGTATAGCAATGTGGGGCACTTGATGGCGTCTGGATCGGACGATGGGTCGTTCAAGATTTGGGATTTCCGCAAATTCCAATCGTACGTACACCACAGCGTCTAGGTATCAAATTCCTGAGGATTGGGAAATGTAGGGACAGCCCCGTGGCGCACTTTCGCTACCACACGGCGCCCGTGACATCGATTGAATGGCACCCTACGGACGAATCGATGCTGGCCGTGTCTGGCGCAGACAACCAGATCTCGATCTGGGATATGTCTGTTGAGGAAGATGCCGAAGCTGCAAATGCCACGACGGCTAAGCTGGATGTGCCCCCACAGTTGTTGTTTATCCACCAAGGCCAGACGGACATCAAGGAATTGCACTTCCACCCGCAATGCCCTGGCCTCTTGGTTAGCACGGCGGCCGACGGCTTCAACGTGTTCAAGCCCGCCAACATTTCCTAACTTAGTTTATAATCGCACCATTGCCCGTGTCACCCTTTGGTGTACATGTGCTCGTTCATGGCGGTGCTCCAACGGGTGCAACGCAAAGGATGGCCCTGCCAAGGGGGTGCAATATTCGTTTGAGATTTTCGTCGACGGCATGGTCGAGCTGTCAGGTGGGGCTAGGTCAAGTGGTTTCTGTGGTGGCCACATTACGTGATCGACCCGGCGAGGATGTGTCCATCATTTAAGCTCGACGGTACGTACTCTGCTCTATCGTGCAAAGGCCATCTCAGCGCTGGTCTGTCATTCATCCAGACGAGGGATTCCAGTGCATCGTATCCCTCGCCAGGCAGTCGCCGAAGACTCAGCAGTTTACCTACTACTTTGGGTCACATGATTTGTGCATTGTGAGTTGCTGCTCGATGTGTGGTACAGAGAATAAAGCAGTTATGCCATGCCGAAGTGGGTTGCACAAACCGACCCAGCTGAAGTCCTGGTTCCATTCGCAGCATCTTGCGTACGCGAAAGGCTTCCCCGCACGATCCTGTCAGCACAAAGAGACGGCCATCTTGCTGTCCCATGCCGTCCGCGAATGCTCAGTTCGAGCGAGCGACCCGACGATGACCATATCTGAACGCCGGCTCCACAGGATTTTCTCGTGACGGACATGGTCGCACTCGTGCTTCCAGACTTGACTCCTTGCAGATTACTCAAACCCTGGCAGCTGGATAGTGGGTAATGCTTCAATGGTTTTGACAATTGTCGTGGACTCTAACGACGATGCCTCGTCTGGTCCTTCCAAGGCGCCTCCACCGCATCCAACGCGCTGATCCAAAGGCCCAAGACAATTTCGCAGTCATAGATAGTACGTGCAGCATGTATTCGAACGTTTGTCGCACGCTGTTGTGTCCTAGGCGAGCATCGCCCGAGCCACGCAAGCGATGGCCAGGGGGGACTGTGATGTTGTAAAAGCGCGCCAGTGAATTCCGTGTGCTGGGCCAAAACCGACGTGCCGAACGCTCCGTGGCTGCCAGCCTTCGTGTGTGACGTATCCGACCTCGACCCAGGAGTGCAGGATTTGAGTACACTACCCCGTAGCCGAGTCCATACCCAATGCTCGTCTCAGCTTTCTACGTCAGGGCGAATCAACGAGCGCATGTCGGAAATCGTTGCTGCGCACCCCCATGCAATTTGCGTCGTAAACTAATTTGGAATGCGCAACTTGTAGTCAGCTCACATAGATGTCGCAGTGACAATATTGCTCTTTTAGCGGGGTGGGTGATCAAATCACTTGGCCACATCGAACCGTGGCAAGGGGACAATCATGAAGCGCATATTTGGAGCAAACGTGACTCGACGATGATGACTGTAAACACGGTCATGGCGGGGGTTCACGACGCCGAGGTGAACCAACTTGGACAGTTCGTCTTAACCTGCTGGCGTTTTTGCCGACAAACGCCAGTCAGCTGTACAAATTCGAGTGGAAACATGCTCAATGGGACGAAGGTGATGTCTTGGTCGAAGGGTATGATTCGATTCAAACTAGTGCCCCAGATTGGAACGCATCTGACTCGGACTTTGAGATTTTTGAGCAGCCATCCGCCTACAACGATGCCAACTCATGTTGACATGATTGCACTGCGACATGGTTTTCATCCTCGGTAGCCATAAGTCCTGACGACCCAAGTGATTCGCTTGATGACGAAATGAAAGGCGAGGACGACGACGAGCCAGGCTCACTACCTCTTGAGCGATACAAGTTAGTGGACGAGGATATTGTCGTGGTGTCGCGGTCGAGAAAGAGGCCCTGTCTGGCGCTGGCTCGGGTCCCAGCCGTCGAACTGTACGAGTATATGGCCATTCCAAAGTTGCGGCACACGACCTCCACGTCGTATGCGTGTGCGTGGTGTGGGCAAAGCGCAAGACCTTCCCGTGGTGGCCAGGATATTACTGTGACCCCCTC